GGTGAAGGTGATGGTAGTGATGGTGATGGTGGTGGTAGCAAGAGTGGTGATGATGGTGGTGGTAGTAGTAATGGTAATGATGGTGATGGTGGTGGTGGTGGTGGTGGTAGGATGCTAAAGAGCTCCTTGGGGGTCCAGGGCTGGTCTGGGAGGCAATAGGCATGGCCCGGGGCAGTGCCAACTCCCTTTCCCCTCCCGGTGATGATGGTGGTAGTGGTGGTAGTGAGGGTGATGGTGATGGTAGGGGTGAAGGTGATGGTAGTGATGGTGATGGTGGTGGTAGCAAGACTGGTGATGATGGTGGTGGTAGTAGTAATGGTAATGATGGTGATGATGATGGTGGTGGTGGTGGTGGTGGTAGGATGCTAAAGAGCTCCTTGGGGGTAAAGCTGGGGTATAGATGAGGTGGAAAGCGAGAGTGTCCACTCACAGGATCTCCAGGCTGGTGGTGCCTTTGAGATCTGGGAACTCCTGGAGATCCGTAGCTCCGTTCAGGGATCTGGAAATAGATGGTCAAAATATCCCTCTTTGTGCTCCAAGCTCCACCTTTTGGAAAACGTCATCTTCCCCAACCTCCCCCTCAGGCCCCCCCCAGCAACTCGAGCCTTGGTGGAAGTTGAGCTGCGCTTAGTAGGGTCCATTCAGTCATTCTCTGAAATTGACTCAGCCCACTCTGACCCAGACAGACCCCCAGTGACCTCAGCATTGACACCCCGGCATGTGAAAAACACCGGCCAGGACCGTGGGGCTTGCTTCTGGTTACAAGGCAAGAACTTAGATGCTTCTGGGTAAGACCTTGGCTCCAAGGGGGTTGCTGATGAATCGTCAGCTGCTATCAAGGGTCCTATTAGTCTTGTGAGCTAGCTTTGGGCTGCTACCCTCAAGATTGTCAGTTCAAACCCACTAGCTACTCCAAGGGAGGAAAAATGAGGCTTTCTGTTTTCATAAAGATTTACGGTCTCAGAAACCCCATCTAGGGTCAATATGAGTCAGCAGCGACCGGCTGGTTGTGAGTTTGGTTGAGGACTTTATCAGAACCTCTCCATTGGTTGATTCTCTCCCCACCTTTTCTTTCTCTCACTCTTCTTCCCCCACCCCCCCATCCTTCCTTCCTTTTAACTTATCAATTGAGAATTGGATGAGGGTATACAGAGTAGATCAACTTTCCATTCAACAATTCATACGTATTTTGCTTCATGTTATTGATTACGGTCCCCGTCGTGTGACATCACTTCTCCCACTTCCTCCTTTTGCTTCTCATTTCCAGTCCTCATCCTTCCCCTAATTCTCTGGGCTTTGTCTTTGGATAAAGGCTGTCTTTCGGATCTCAAACTGTTGCTTACTCTAAGGAGTGTACACCTCACTAAAGCGACTGTCCCCTGTTTGTTGTTTGGCTGAAAACAGACCGGAAGGCTAAGGGCACAGTCTTGGGGATGCCCCTAGTCTTTTCTCAGCAGTAAGCCTGGTCTCCTGGTGCTTTTGAGCTTTGTTCTACATTTTTTCTTACTTGATCCAGGACCTTCCAATGTGATCCACTGGCTCTTTTAAACCACCTTCCACACTAAACTCACTGCCATCGAGTCTGCTGGCTCATACAATGGGTTTCTGAGACTCACTGCCATCGAGTCAATGCTGGCTCAGAGGGACCTTCTGTGGGTTTCCAAGACCGTAAGGGTTCATGGGAATCGAAAGACCAGTCTTTCTCCAAGTGGTTTCGAACTGCCAACCATGCAGATCGTAACTGCTATACCACCAGGGCTCCTCCTAAGATGGTCTTACGTCCCCCTTCCCCTAACATCCCAATCTCATGGACCCAACACACCAGGCCTTCAAACAATAGGAGGACAACAAAATAGGTGCCATTAGTGACCTAGCGGAGGCAGCAGGAGACACAGAAAAGGGCCCAGAATCTGAAGTCTAGGTTCTGGGTTCGTGCTCCAACATGCCCTGGGAGCCTCCAATTGCATCTGTGAATTGGGTTAATTAAGCTATCTCACAAGATTAGAATGAAGCTGAAATATGATAACAGATGTGTGTGTGTGTGTGTGTGTGAGTTAAGTGCTCTACGAGGTCAGTCAGTGATGCTCCTGGAGGCCACAGTGTGCTGAGCGCTATCTGTGGAAGCATTTTTGAAAAGTGGGACACGAGGTGGGAGTTAAAAGAATGGAGGAGTGGGAACACTGGAGGTCAAGGGCAATAAAGATGACACAGAAGGCCCCAGGGATCCAGGCCCCAGGGACCCTGAGAACACCCAGTATTCCAAACAACATCCCTATCATCTGCTCTTTAGAGGTGTTTAAGGAATAGCAACCATGAGCAGGATTCAAGAGGCCAAATAAGATTCCTTGGCTAAGGAGAGGAGCCACCTTCCCCCAGCTGAGAGTTGGGAAGCAGTCGTGGCTCAGGGAAGTGGAGGGAGGTCCTTAAGTCCAAGCAGATCTGGGACTTGGCCTAAGCGGAGGCCTCTCAGTAGGGGTTTTGCCCACAGGTGTGAGTATATAGGTGAGGGTCTGTAGGTGGGGGGCCGCAGGTAGAGTGAGGAAGGGCAGAGGCCCAGACAAAGGGAGCCTTCAGTGCCAACTTACAGCGTGTGTAGCTTAGGCAGGTATTGGAACGCCGACCTTCCCACAAACTGGATTGGGTTGTCATAAAAGTGGCTGGAAGAAAAAGGCCCATGTAGCGGGGCAGTTAGCCAGTCCTGCTAGCCAGGACCAGGCAGTCAGCCCTCTTCTTTCTCCCAACAGCCACCACCCAGGAGACAGCATACCAGGAAGGGACCCCTCCAGTGCTCTTGCCCCCTTGGCGCTTTCTAAGAAAGTCTCTCTTTCCTCCCCACCCTGAACTCCTCCCCTCCACTGCCAAGGGGCCTGAGTAAGTACTCACATGGTCTGCAGCAGAGGGTTCCCCATGAAGGCCTTTTCTGGGATAGCCTTAATGTTGTTGTTGTGGAAACCCCTGCAAGATAGCCCCCTGGAGTCAGTGAGGACATGCACACTGTGGATATTTATACACATACAAACATCTTCTTGCTCGTGCTACCTTAGGGCTCTGCTCTTTCTCCAGGAGTCCGTTCGGACCCCCGGTCCCCAGACCTTTGTGTGCCCTGCTCCCTCCAGGCCTGTTTCTCCAATCCCTCCCTGCTTTCCTGTCTCAGCTCACAGGAGCAGTCAGATCTTGGTGACACATTGGCTTCGGATGACTCTTGCAGACCCTCCTCCAGCTGGCCCAGCCAACCTTGTCTAACAGACTCCTGTGGCATTCACACCTCCACATGTTGGGCTGAGGGGGAAGGGCAGCGGGTGGCACAGGGCTGATCCTACAGGTAGTAAGCTGTCTTTTGAACTGGAGAGAAACCATAAGGCCAGAAGTTTGGAGCTGTGTTCACAAATCTTCAGGCCCCCTTAATCCGACCCCACTCTAGCTCCAGGGGAGACCACCCACTGTTTCCCAAGAGCCTCTCCTCTAGGAAGGCTGGTCTCCCTCCTGTGGTCATCCCTTGGCCCTTGACCGACATTGTTCCACTGTCTGAAGGGCACCACTCCATCCCCACCGCTGTCATTCTGAAGCCTGTCTGTCCATCCTTTAAGGAGGCTACTCTCAGGATACAATCATACTGTGAGATCTTGCGATGCTGCCCTAAGGCCCACGACCACTTCAGCTAATGCTGCACAGTGCAGGCTGGGAGTACACCTGGCTTCCTCGGGGACCCTGTTCGCTAGGTGACTTTGCCTCTTCAACAAGCCGGAAGGACTCTTGGGCACGGATCCGTGCCTAGTTTACTCCTCATTTGTGTCTGGCCCTGAGCAGTGCTGGCCTCAGAGGGTGCTGTGCCCGGTGAATGCTTACCATACAATGCCATAACCAGGGGAGCTTGTGAGGGGGAGGTGGCACTCGGCGGCCGGCCCAAGGCTGGTGACTGGAGTACCCCTGGGAGGTGCCTTGGAAGAAAGGCCTGGCAATCTACTTCCAAGATCCACCACTGACAACTCTGTGGGGGCCCAGCTTCCACTCTGCACACGCAGGGCCGACTGGACAGCAACTGGTTGACAGGCAGAGAGACCAGCACCCACGGGACTGTGGCCTCTCCTCATTCTTCTGCGGGCACGCCCCAGCCAAGGCATGCGGCTGCTCTGGGCACAGACTAATAGGAGGTGACTAGTGCTGTGGAGCTTTGGGACAGGGCCTCCCCAGCTAGAGTGCCTTGGGGCCATCCCTGCTGAGGACACACCCCTTGGACATGCCCAAAGCCCTGTTAATGAGACCTGTGACTACTTAGACCTTCGCTGGGGGCAGGACGGGGCCTTTGGGGCCTGCTTTTACAATTACCACAAGAAGTGTGGGCTGTGAGGGAGACCCTGGGCCCGTTTCAACCCATGCCCCGTGGGAGAAAGGTCACCCACAAAAAAGTTACGTGGGAGCTTACAGTTCCTGCAGCCTGCCCAGGGTGCGGATGGCTACGGGGAAGTCCTGCAGCTCGTTATAGTTCAGGTCCCTGGAATGGAAAGCAAAGCAGTTGTTAGAGGGGAGGCTCTCGGGCCATGTCAGGGTCCCCCAGAAACGGAAACTTGGCTCTGGGCTTGGCCAGAGATGGGTTTTCCAATCCATTGGATCCAGCTGCCAGTGAATGTTTGGAAACACAATTTTGGAATGTTTGTACGCTGTCCCACAAATCCCGAGGCTTGGAGGCTTGCAGACAGCAAAGTGTCTGGAGGGGACCCTTCCAGGGTGGGGGTGCCTGGAACTGATTTCCTCACAGCAGTCCCTGCTAGCCCAGGAAGGGCTCCCCAGGCAGTGGTTGGGTGCCCTCCCATCCTGTGCCCAGCACTGGCATTAGCATGAATTAGCAATTCCAGAAGGCGTCAGCTTCGGCCACTTCAGTCTCTACTATAAAAAGGGACAGACGTTGTTTCTTATCTTTTCAGAGTTGGACCCAGCACCCGAGACCTTCAAACAACACAAGGACAACTCAATGGGTGCAGTTCCAGACCCCGAGGCGAGCACACAGGGCCCAGGAATGAGCCCAGCTTCTGAAACCAACGGCGCTTGGTTTCATGCCTCAGCGGATCTGTAGTTCCTCTCCCCACTTTCTGTACTTTCTCTCTTTTTTTCCTTAACAATGAGCGTCAACCTCGGATATCATCAGGGGCGGTCATTTAAAAACGGGATAGCAATCCAACTTGGCGAGGATGCGGGGGCAGACACGTGCTCTAAGACACGAGCGGCGGCGGTTTCAGTGCCGCTCAACCTTCTGGAGTGCTTTGGGAATCGCGTCTCAAATGAAACAATTCTGTTCCAGTCACTCCCCAGCCCGGAACCCACCCAACATGCACGGGTGGAGGTGTTTGTACTAGGATGGTCATCGCTGCATTCGGGCACCGGGGGCAGCGGCTCAGTCCACAAGTGGCCGTGGGTGTGCTCCTCTGACCCTCCTCGGGGACCTTCGGTATCTGTGCCCTGGTGGCACTCGGGAGGGCACAAGGATGGAGGACAAATGGGGGAGGAGAAAGGGCGATTTGCATTTTGATGAGAGAAGGTCTAGAAGTGCTTGTGGGAAAACTCCCTCCCAAAGCAGGGGGGGTGTCCCACAGACAGAGGGGCTACTTGAGATGGGGGGTTGCGGTAGACAGCGAGTCGTGATTGGGGAGTGGAGACTAAGAGTTCCAGAGGACTTGGAGAAAGTTGCTGTCTGCTAGGTGATGGGATTGTCACCCCGTAGGAGCACTGGTGGTGTCATGTTGACGAGTGGGGCTGTGATCCACATGGCCAGCAGTTCAAAACCACCAGCAGCTCCTCGGAAGAAAGACTGGGCTTTCTAACTCCGGTAAAATTACTGTAGGTAATTTTACTGTAGGTAATTACTGTAGGTAAAAAACCTACAGGGGGGGGGGGCGCTACGAGTCAGCACTGACATTTGATGGCAGTCCTTTTTTAACTTGAAGAGATATCAACTTCAAAATGTTTGCAGTCGGTGTGGTTGTTTGCAAGCCTTAGTAGGGAAGTTGGCCCCGGGTGGAAATGTTCTGGGAGGGGAGGGGGTCTCTGCGCCTCCTGACTGTTGTTACTGGGGTGCACAGTCCCAGGTTTTGGCAATTGGAGCAGCCCTATCTCAGATGTTCTCTTGGCCCTCCCGGAATGCCCTCAGCCCATCTTCTCAGCCTCTAAAGCCACCCCAACCCTGATGACTTTCAGAGAGGACACTGTCAATGCCAGGGCAGGGGGACCACGTGGAGGGGCCTTAAGTGCAGAGCGACTTGGCAGGTTTTGTGGGTAAATACCATGTTAACACCGGGATAATGACAGGCTCTTCTACATGACAGGGTCATTACACTTAATAGTCCACAGGTAGAGCCAGAAAAGCAGCCCAAAGGCCATCGGAGCAGTGACAAGCGCCTGGCAGCCAGTGATCCAGATAATTGTTCCTCCTCCTGACCCCTACCCACACCCCCTGCACTAATAACCCGATTATCCTCTGCCTCCCCTGGTGATCTTGGGTAATTACAGCATCACCCCCTCTGCCCTGCCGGACTCATTCTGCTGGGAGTCAGTCCTTTGCCCTCCAGGACAGCAGACCTGCAGTCCCTATGGGAAAGGCTCTCTTGGCTGTGGGGGGTGGGGTGGGCAAAGGGCAGGTTGTGCACAGGGCACTTTCATTGGCACTGAGGCATTGGAGTTGGGAACAGGAGGGCTTTTCCAGTTGGGAGGGTCCTGGGGTTCTACCGCCAGCTATAGCAGACACCTAGAAAATCAGGCGGGGGAGCTGAGCGTGGGGCAGTGGAATGGAATAGAGGGGCTCCTTATGGACTTAAAGGGCACGAAGCAATCGCCCTCACATTGCAATGTCTCAAAACCCAGCGTCCCCTGCTAACTCAGGCGCACTTCTTTAGGGATTTCCCAGGGTCTCCCAAGGAGAACTAGATAGTCCCATCTCTAGCAAAGGCATTATCTTCACTAAACAGTTTTAATGTTGCATTCTCTCCCAAGCAAAGAACTGCACTGGTTCGGTGCAAAGTATCAGTCATTACTTGATATGCCACCTGCCTCGGTGCGCCTCCTCGGATGCATCTGCAGGACTTACTTCCCCACTTCGCCCAAGTCTCCGCTTCAGAGACACCTCGGACCACTCTGCTGAATACGCCACCCTGTCATCCACTAGTACCTTACCCCGGCGGGGAGATTAAAAGTGGCCACCAACCCCTCACAGCTTTTCTAAGTAAGAGGTGGTATCGACCTCCTCATCCTGTGGGCTGGTCTTGCGAGTGGCTCTGACCAATGAACTGAGGCAAACTGACCTGGAGAAACCTGGAACCTAGGTCACAGAGGCATTGCAGGCTCTGCCTTTGTTCTCATCGGAGGCTCCCACCACCGTGTGAAGCAGCCCCGGTTAGATTGCTGAATGACAAGAACCGTGGGAAAAGGCAGGACCAACCCAACCATCAGCACCAGACTCGGGAGCCCCCACTGAGCCTCCAGATGACTGCTATCTCAGGGGTGAGCCCAGGAGGGGCTCCAGCAGAAGAATCACCCAGCTGAGCACAGCCAGTCGGCAGAATCAGGAGGTAGACTCATTTGCTCTTTTAAGCCACTAAGTTTTGGGGTAACTTTGTCGTGTAGCATGGATAACTAAGATCGCCTGTTTTTTTTTTCCTTTTCTAGAAAATATTACCACCTAAGATATATTTCTGTAGTGTCTTCTCATCCAACTAAAATAAAGACGCCTTCAAACTAGAAACTCTGTTTTGTGCTCTACCCACTAGACCAGTACCTGGCACAGAGCAGGCAAATACTTGTTGAGTGAATAAATGAAAAGGTGTCGATAAGTTGATGAATGAAAGACAGTAGTGGACTCTTTGGGGACTTGACAGTTTTGGGGAACAGACCTAGGATTTTGAAGTTGATGTCAAAAAGGACCTCGAGTTATCCCTGAGTGTCACTGTGAGGCAAAGCCAGTACCATGGGGCTCCTGAAGTGGACCCCAAGTGGTTTTCTTATCATTGATCCCTTACACAGTTCATTGGACCCATGTCCAGGGAGCCAGATTGAGTGATTCCAGCCCTATCAGAAGTTTCTGATCAGGAATTTTGCTAGGAGTGACCTAAACAACAGTGGGAGGACGCACAGCAAGAGGCATGTGGAGAGGAGGCTATCTGTGTAGGGGAAAGTGGGAGGAGAAAATGGTGCAAAAGTCAAAGAGAATTCTGCAAACAACACACCTCTGAGGGGGCCTGGGTTTTCCCATTTGGGAGTCTATATAGATTCAGTGATCTGGATCATGGCCAAAGCTCTACTTCATTTGGTGCAGTGTAGATGTAATCTCTGGTGCTAACTGTCCAGAGGATGTGTCTTTGCAACCTCTCTGCCCCAATTAATTCAGTTCCTTGCCATGAACCTTTGTTGTCTGCCCAACATACACAAAGAACCCTGCTAGGTAAAATGGGAGGCAGAGAGATGGGCAAGAAACCATTCCTGTCTAGACAGATACACAAGACAAGTAGACAAGTACCACGCTGTGGGCAGTGCTGGAGAAAACACACAGTACACATGGCAGATCCAGACCTTCTGAGACAGCAGAGACCACACCCAACTGGGAAGATGGGGGTGGGTGGGGCTGCATGGAGACATCTGCATATTTGAACCAGGTCTGGATGGCAGGGCAAGATGTCAATGTCAAGAGAAGGAAGAGAGGGGTGGGTTCGGCAGAGAGAGGAACTAGGTGCTGTGGAGTTGTGCTTGGAAACCAGCCAGTGATAGCATTTGGGTGGAGTGCAGGACAACGGTGGAGGGCAAGGCTGGAGGATGTCCCTTCCCTGGACTGGGCTGCTGCTGCCCACACTCCCTAGCTGGGCCCACCTCACCATGGGCCCACTGACGATCACACTGACGATGTGCCAGGCACCAAGTGCTTGCCGGGATCATCTCTTTAGTCATCTCACAGCTTTAAGAAGCAGCTCCTCAATCCACATTCATGCCCGTTTACAGACACCCTTTTCACAGCTGAGGAAAGGGAATTGCCCAAGACACACCAAGGGCAAGGGCGCCCAAACCCACCCTTTGTCTATACTGGTACCATCCACTAGCCGCAGGGGCCGAAGTAAATGAAATGCAAGTAAAGAATGGGGAATGTTCAGCTCTCTTTCTCTCGCCACATTTCAAGGGCCCAGTAGCTGCCTGTGGCTCCCATATGGGAAGCAGGACATAGAACATTCCCACCCTTGCCTGGGCAGCAGTAGCAGCAGCAGCATCCTATAGTAACCGGAGCAGGAGCTGGAATGTAGCTGAAGATCCAAGGAGGCCTCAGGAAAGTTCGTGAGAAATGGAATGAAAAGACACGTGCATTTCTTCCACGAGCTTTGTGAAGCCCTCTCGTCTCTCTCAGCCTCCCTGGCAGTAGGTGTGGCCACAGGGACTGTATGCTGTGCCCTCGTGGAATGTGGATGAAAGTGGAGCATGCCATTTCTAGCCCAGGATTTACAAAAGAGCCAGTCTGTCTCCTCC